CACTGATTTATTTTACAACTCTCCGTTGTTTTTAATAAGTTGAGTTTTTTTCTTTGTTTGCTTATTGGCCATTTGAACTTTTGGGTGAATTGCCTGGGAAGTATCTATTGATGATGCTGTCCTATTTAACCATTAAAGACCTTTAGAAAGACTATTAGAAAATCCTTATATGAGGAAGTTTCACTCTGGCAGTTGAAATGCATTTTTCTTACAGGGGTGAATTAGGAGTCTATGGTCAAAACCTGATTTCTTAACCACTTGGAATTTATTTGACCTTAAAATTTAAGGAATGATTGGTGAAAGGTACATTGGGATCTCTCTGTACTGTTTTTGCAGCTTCCTGAGACTCTATAATTATTTCAAAATAAAGTCTAAAAAATTCAAGGAATGCTAAAACTTTGGCTTCCTCCTGTTACTACCTGTACCTGGGCTCGATAATTCTGATGGGTGGAGTTGATCGGAGGTATATGGCAACAGAGCCAAAATCAAATGGTGGTTAGGAATGCTGCTTTTTGTTGTTGTTGTTGTTGTTACGTTGTTTTAATTTGCAAATAATTTCAAACTTTAAAATGGTTGCAAAAATAAAAACTGAATAAGGAACATCTTATACTCTTTCCCAAATGCACGTGTTAACATTTGACCCCTTTAGCATCACCTTTTGAAATGTACTGTTTTGTGACCACAGCCACTACCCCTTCTCATCCCCCTTCCGAATATGAGGCACCACAGTCTTCTAGGTTTTAGGCCAAATGCTTACATGCAGATTTCAGGCTTCTCAGGAACCTACTGTAGTTCTAGTTGCTAAGGTCTCAATGTATGTAAATAAAAACACTTAGCCTTTAAAGATTTTAAAGTATAGATTGATTCCCTGCCCTTCAACTCAAATATTAATTGTCTTCCCGCACCCCCAGTGCAGCGCCTCAGCTGTAGCTAAGCTAGCTGCTCGTGACCCTCTTGTTCTGATTTGACTGGTTGTTTCCGTCTCATGCCTTTCCCTGTGCTGTTGTTTCACATCTGCAATATTCTTTTCTCCACATCCCTTCCCCCAAGTCACATAATGACTTCCCTGCTAAAAAAATAAAAAATAAAAATTATTCCCAGACTTCTTTACTTGATTAGCCCCATCTGATGTGGGCATACCTGTGCTGAGTTTTCATTTCCTTAGGGGTTTTTTGCTTTTATATAGATCACATTATACAATGTCCATCTGTTGTCTCCTCAAGTTCCCCCCATTGGATGGTACCAATGTTGTCTTTTGTAAACCTCCATAATGGCCTGTGCAGTTGTGCTGGAGGCATGATCTGGTTTTAAATGTGTTACTGTGAACTGAATTTGGGTTTTATTATTAGAACCATCTAATAATCTATAAAGCAAAATTCTAATTGTGTTGATGCTTTTGGACACCCTTATCCTTCAGGGATGTAGCACTCTTCCCAAGTGGGCCTTCCTCATGGCAGGTAGAAGCTGGAGCAGAGGCAGAAGGGCTGGACCTGTTGTTTACTAGTGGTGTGAACCCTGTGTTGTGTTGTGTGCAACGCAGCCCCTGCTAGGTTGGAAGAGACTTTGTGCAAATCTGCTAATGGAAAAGGAGTTCTGTCTGAGTTTCTAACGATCAAGGTCTAAGTGCCTTGGGAGGATTGCCTGTGCTGGAAGTAGAGTACAACTTCTTTTCTCTTTTCTTGTTTTAAATAAAACTAAGGCTAGAGCTAGTTCATTATCCACAATGTGGATATTGATTTTTGTTTATGAGATGGAGTATTAACAGATTAGAATGGCCGCTGGCAATTCTCAGCTGCTTTATTGAATTTGAGTGAATCAAGGGATAGCTGTTAAGATGTACTTGATTTTTGGGCTAAATTAGACCTTCCTATCATGGTTTGTTTTGACCGGATTTGCCGATTTGCCGTTGCCTCTGCAGCATCAAGGTGGAAAAATGGAGTCTTGAAGGCCTCTTTTCTACTCTTTGTAAAACCAAATCCTATTTAAAAATGCACAGACAAGAGGCATTAAGACATCCTCTGCAATACGGTGCAGCTTGCCTCCGTATTGCTAGGCTCACCATTGCCAGGCCGCCGGTCCCAGCTTGGGCCCTGCTGGCTGACACAGGTCTTCAGACAGTGTGGTCAGAGATCAGCAAGAGTCCCTTTAATCAGCAGGTCAGGGGGCCTCCCTGTGTGGAAGAGGATTGGGCATGTAGGCCCCTGGTGGCCCTACCTGGGCAGGTGCCAGCTAGCTCACTGCTCCCTGTGGCTTTGCTGAGCTGCCCAGATCTCAGGCTCTTGGGCGCACTGTTTCTCCCTCCGACTTGGCCTGCGCCTGACCTTGCCTGAGGACTCCCAGGCCATCCCACCCTCAACTATTGATGGGCCTCTCCACCATTTGCCTTGCGCCCCGGAGGACCAGCTCATCCTGTTCAGCCCCCAAGCTGTGCTCTCTCTGTTTGTACCTGTGCCCACAGTCAACTTCCCTTGCAGCCACCACTACCTGTGAGGCAGCCTCAGAACAGCAAAGCCTTACAGATCATCCTTTATGTTATTAAGGCAATTTAAATTACGCTTATTTTTCAACCTACGGAGAATTGTCAAGTACCAAACTTTCTTTTTAAATTACCTCTATAATTTTCTTTTTAAATTACCCTTATAAAACTAGGTGACAGTTAAATGAAAAATAAGTGTTGTACCTGGTGTTTTTCTTCTTACTAAGCCTACAAGCCTATTGGCTTAAAGATTGCCCTATACCGGAGGCTGTGTCTTTCCAGCTTGCCTTGTCTTCCTAGCGTTACAGAACTCTGTAAAGCTATTGGAGGCTCCTCCTCGGGCAGTCGCCATTTCCTGGATTTAAATTGCTTTGCCGGATGGATAGAGATCATTCCCTTTTCCTGGATCCAGTGAGGATAGGCGAGCCTGAGGGTCACGAATGAGCATGGGCAAAACTCTTAGAAAGCTTTTATGGAAATAATTTCTTGGGATCATTGATACTGAGAATGTGCAGTTTCAGATATGTCCTTGTTATGACTAGACCCTTGAACTACAGTTCTTCTCATCGTTAGAGTAGTTATAGTGATTCAGGATCACTGTTTTCTGCCTCCCATTTACCTTTTTTCTTGCCAGTAGTATCAGTTGCCAGCATTTTGAACACGAATATTTGGCAGAAGACCTAAATGTAGAAGTCCTTCAAATTAAAGAAAACAAACGAGCACTATAATGTGATTGTCTATGGCAGCGATTTTTCAACCTTTTTTATCTCGTGGCATGCTAATTACTAAAATTCTGTGGCACTACAAAAAATACACTTTTTGCCAATCTGACAAAAATATAGGCATGATTTTGATTCACTCACACTGGACCTCTATTATTGTGTTGGCTGTTGTCATTTTTTTAAAAATGTGACAATCTTCAGGAAAGGAGGTCAGTGCCCTGACTAAATGTTCAGGCACTGCATATTTTAAAAATTCTTGCAGCATACCTGCTGACAATTGCTGGTCTGTGGTATATTACTTGTATAAGTGTATTACATTGCATTGTGAATAGCCACCTGTAAATATAAACACGTGGGGTTTTAGGCCTGGGAAGGACTCTTGATCCCCCATTTTACAAATGAAGAATCTGAGACCCATACAGGTCTTGGCTCTTTCAAGTTCCCACAGAGTCAGCTGGAAAAAGAGCAGGTACCGGAAGGCCTGTTTCCTGGTCCCAAGGCTGCCCTTTCCTCTCCCCCACGATGCCTTTCTTGTACTGACGGTCTCCCACTGCTCCGCAGCACCCACCTTCCACCCTGGAGGTGGCGAAGAGACCCATGTGGCAGGACACATCATCCCATTCTCATCTTCAGGCCTCTGCCCCTTCTTTCTAATCATGCCCATTCCGCCACAACCTACTCATTAGTTTAAAAGACGGAGCAAATGTCCTACCGCCCCCACTGGTCTCGCTCTCCTCAGAATGCCTGAAGTCCGCTCCTCAAGTGTGTTTTCGCTCTTTTGACAGGGACTCTTTCCAGATCGTGGTGTTAATTTCAGTCTTGTAGGGTGTGTTATGATGCCTGCTCCCAGTAAATGGGTCTTAAGTGAACAGGAAGCGAGGTAGTCTGCTAGATGTCACAAGGTGGGCTTGATATCTTTTGTTTTGCTGCCCAGCTTTTCAGGTGTCTGTCTTCCCTCCAGCCAGCTGCCAAGCCTCAGAAGGGAGGGAAGCAGAGTTTCCTTGTCTCTCACCAAAACCCTTTGCAGAGTTTTCTGTTGGGGTGGGCTACAGCATTGATTCTTCATTTTCCTGCCCTTTGAATCTTGGATTTAGTTTTAAATAAGTTTGCTTGTTCCTGAAACCTCAGAACATAGCCATGCGACTGCCTAAATTCTCTGGCCTTATGGTCATTTTGGAGAATAAAGGGGCCAACATGCCATAGTAATTAGTTTACAAATTTCCCTTTCCACTCTCGGGTACTTTGCTACACATTTGCAGGGGCAAGATAGTATGTGTTGGTGGGAGATATGAGCCAAATAATTGTTAGGACTGGTGTGAAAATTGCATTGGAAGCAATAACCCTTCTGGGTTAGCTTTTTATAGTTAGAAAACCACTGGTGAAATTTTTGTTCCAAGATTCTCAAAATCAGCAGGATGCTGCATTGAATCCTGTTGGACTTCTGAAGTAATGCTGGTAACATATATTGTTCAGGTATTCCAAGCCTTGAAATATGGAATTGCTGATAGAAATGAGCTAGTTAAGAGGGAGGAAACAATTACTCAGATGCGAAGTAAGACAGATTGTATGGTACTTTTAAACACTGGTTTGTAGTTTGCTCATGAAAGAGAATGCCTAACTGGAATGTATCTGGTGCAAATTGAGCCATTAAACCCGCTCAAGTGAAAAACAGTGGCCACCTGCCAAGTAAAGGCAGAATCACCATTTAGAAGTGAACTTCGTCTGTGCTCCTGTCTGCACACGATAGTGTCTCCTATGGAGAAACCACTTTCTGACTTCTGGTTTTCTTGCTGTTTTCTCAGAGCCTAAGCCCTTGTGAAGCCGGCAATGACAAGTCTGAATGGTCGCCATGCTGAAAAAACCATTGACATGCCAAAACCATCAGCCCCCAGAGTGCACGTGCAGAGGTCCGTGTCCCGAGACACTATCGCCATCCACTTCTCGGCATCCGGGGAGGAGGAGGAGGAAGAGGAGGAGGAGTTCAGGGAGTTTCTTGAGGAGGGGCTGGACGACCAAAGCATCGTAACAGGGCTTGAAGCCAAGGAAGACCTCTATCTTGAACCTCGGGGTGGCCATGACCCCTCTGGCTCGGCTGCCCAGCCCATCCTGGCAGATGGACTGTCCGGGTCCCCTGCCGTTTTGCCCGTTTCGGAGAACACTGTAAAGCTGTTGGAGGCCCCTCCTCCGGCAGCACAAGTATTAAGTACAGTGCCATTGGCTCTGTCCCCAGGGTCATCTTCATCAGGGCCCTTAGCTAGCTCTCCCAGTGTGTCATCCCTTTCTGAGCAGAAAACCAGTTCTTCCTCCCCATTGTCCTCTCCTTCCAAGTCTCCTGTCCTCTCATCCAGTGCCTCATCCTCCACCCTTTCCAGCGCGAAACCCTTTATGAGCCTTGTGAAGTCCCTGTCAACCGAGGTGGAGCCAAAAGAACCCCCACACCCCGCAAGGCACAGGCACTTGATGAAGACATTAGTCAAGTCTCTGTCCACAGACACCTCCAGGCAGGAGTCAGATACTGTGTCCTATAAACCACCTGATTCCAAGCTGAATTTACACCTGTTCAAGCAGTTTACCCAGCCACGAAACACAGGTGGAGACTCCAAAACTGCACCTTCTTCCCCGCTGACTTCTCCCTCCGATACACGCTCCTTTTTTAAAGTGCCCGAAATGGAGGCAAAAATCGAAGACACTAAGCGACGCCTTTCAGAAGTCATATATGAGCCTTTTCAGCTCCTTAGCAAAATTATAGGGGAAGAAAGTGGCAGCCATAGGCCCAAAGCCTTATCTTCAAGTGCTTCAGAACTCTCCAATCTGTCCAGCTTGAACGGTCACTTGGAAAGCAATCACAACTACAGCATCAAGGAAGAGGAGTGTGATTCCGAGGGGGATGGCGATGGAAGCGACCCCAGCGGCCCCAGAAGTGACCACGCAAAGGCCACCGACGAGCCCCCGAAAGAGGCGGAACTGAAGAGTTCCCAGGGGAGCAGCCTGAAGGATTTAGGCCTGAAGACAAGCTCTCTAGTCCTTGAGAAATGTTCTTTGTCTGCCTTAGTGAGCAAAGAAGACGAAGAGTTTTGTGAACTCTACACTGAGGAGTTTGATTTGGAAATGGAGGGCGAGGATAAAATTGATAAGCTCCGAGATACACCTCTCAAGCCAGAGGAGCTGGCGGATGATGGCCCTGCTCTTGACAGCGATGAAGAGGTGGACGTGGCCCAGCAGCACCCGGAACTACCAGTGAAGACACTGGGCTTCTTTATACTGTGTGTCTATGCGTACCTCATCCTCCCTCTCCCCCATTACATGAGTGGACTCTTTCTGGGAATCGGCCTGGGATTCATGACTGCAGTTTGCATGATTTGGTTTTTTATACCACCAAGTGCTCATAAATACCACAGACTACATAAAAACCAACAACACTGGAACACAAGATCTCTGGATATCAAAGAACCAGATATACTGAAGGTAAGCAAGCCTCTCCTCAGTAGCTGGCTAGCTCAGGTGTTAGCTCACAAACGGCCCTGTTTTAGACTCAACTTAATTTTTGTAGCCTATCGAGTTCATTGTCACAGGTGTTTGCATAAGCAGTGTTTTTAAGACTGGGATCTCTTCACTCTCCAGGCACCCAAGAGACTTACCAAACAAACCTCATTTTAGTTCAAGTTTTGCTGCTTCACCAAGTAGTTTTTCAAGGATCTCCGTGGCCCTAGAAAGTAGCATTTACATCCAGTTTCTAATAGGGCAGCCTTTTCCTCAACTTTCCAGATGTTTGCTCCTTGTTGAGGATCTTTTATAGCTGGCTCTGTTAGGATTAAGTATTCTTGAGATCCTGGAGAAGAGTTAAGCACTCCCAATTCAAGAGGAGAAAAGGAGGAAGAGAAGGCCAAGAAATGCCAGCGGTTGGCCACTGCAGGCTCTCCTCTCGGCTCTGCGCGCGGTGGGACATGGGCTGGAGAAAGACACGTCGCCTTTCAGTGCTCGTCAGATCTCAGAATCGGCGCCTCCTGAGGGGTGCCGTTAGGGTTCAGGAAGAAAATATTAGAACTTCCATTTATACTTATTTTTGCACATTAAAAGATTTCTGGCTATTGCACATGTTTAATAATATACATGATAGAAAAGTACAGTTATAGCTCATAGTTTTTAAGCCATGAGCACAGACACACATTTTATATATATATATTGTTTTTAAAAATTGAGGTAAAATACACAACATAAAATTAACCATCTTAATCATTTTCAAGTGTGCAGTTCACTGTCTTAAATACATTCACACTGTTGTATAACCATCACCACCATCCATCCGCATAACTCTTTTTATCCTGTAAAAGCAAAACTTTATACCATTAAAAAATAACTCCATGTTCTTTCCTCCCTGAGCTCCTGGCAATCAGTTCTACTTTCTCCTTTTTTTTTTTTTTTGTTTGTTTGTTTTTCATTTTTGGGGGGGTTGTTTGTTTTTGTTTTTTGGTTTTTTTCTTTTTGGACTATGAGTATCTTATATAAGTGGAATCACACAGTTTGTCTTTCTATGACTGGCTTATTTCACTTAGCATAGTGTCCTCAATCCTCATCCATGTTATAGCATATTGTAGAATCTTATTTTTTTTAAGGCTGAGTAACACTTTATTGTATGTATATATTACATTTTTGCTTATCCATTCATCTGTAAATGGACACTTGGGTTGCTTCCACATTTTAACTCTGGTGAATAATGCCGCCATGAACATGGGTATACAAATGCCTCTTCGAGACTCTGCTTCTGATTTTTTTGGATATATACCCAGGATTGCAGGATCATATGATAATTCTATTTTTAGTTTTCTGAGGACCTGCTACACTGTTTAATAACAGCTATACCATTTAGATTCCCACCAACAATGCGTAAGGATTCCAGTTTCTCCACCTTCACATCCTTGCCAATACTTGATGTTTTTGTTTTTGTTTTTTGATTGTCAGAGCTTGGTTGATTTCTCTGTTGATAGATTTTCCGCCACTCGATTTAAATAAGAATGCTAAAAAAAAGGACACCACATCTCTTTATTGCAAAACAAACAAAACAAGGGGAAGAACCCTCAGGATCTAAAACACTGTTTTGGTTTTTAATTTCATAAATATTTTACCTTATTCAAAATAAATACTTGGTCAATGTTTAAAAAACAGAGGAAAGCCAAAGAAAATTCTTTGTCATGCTGGTGGGAGGGAATTATAGTTAATGATTTGGTATATATCCTACTTTCATTTTTTTTGTTTCTACATATACGGCTATATACATTACACGCATGCATACTTGTGCACTCTTTGTTTTGATTTATGGGACCATATATTTTGCAGTCTGACCTTTTTCTTTCACATGGCAATATGTTATGACACTTTCTTTTTAAAGAGAAGCTGGTGCTGAGTGGATGTGACACACTTAAGCTTAGTATTAATGCATGAAGTGAAGCAAAAGTGATTCATTATTCATGGCTGCTAAGCTTTTTCGATAGCGTGGTGCTGTGACTACCTAAATTACATGCCCTCTAAGTTACTGATAACTTTAGCAAAGAAAAATGGTACTTATCTTTAACTCCAGTGCCCAATGACTGTGACATTCATTTTAAACTGGTTTGGGTACTTAATTGTTCTGGGAAGATTTTAAAATCAGCACTGTTGACTTCAATCATTGATGTATTTCAAGAGTTTACTGGCTGCAGAGGATGCCAATGGAACAGGACTTTAATGTTGTGGCACATCCTGGTCGCTTTGATCTGATCATTGAGGCAGTAAAGGCAGCACTGTGATGCTGAGCACCTACGTTCAGCTGAGTGCGTTATCTCATTTAATCCCTACCACAACCCTTCTCACTTCCACTACGTGGTCGTGAGGAAGTGGAGGCACAAAGAGGTTAAGGTACTTGCCAAGGTCACACAGCTGGTGAGTGGTGGAGCCATGAGTTTTGTTTTTGGTTTTTTTTTTAAGGAAGGTGTTTTGCTCTCAGTGCTTGGATAAATGTATTTGAATTTTCAGTGTAGAGAACAAGTACTTCAGTGTTGTCACGGACTGACACTTACAATCCAAGCAAATTGCCCTAGGCTGTTTTATGAATATTCTTCCAGATTGATGTTTGAACAATTCTGATAGATTATTTTGGCAATTGTTTTTCATTCTTAACCTTAACTTGTTTAGAATGGCTTCATTACTAATGAGGGAAAGTACATTTTCACCTGAGGTCTTTGGTTTGGTGTTCAGGATTGTGTTAGAAACTTGGCTAAATACATTCCTTATTTTTAAAGGGGGCACTACTGCAGGTTAGAAGGGTAGGCTGTATGTTGCAAGCCAAAGATTTCAAATGCAAATGTTCTTTGGTTTTAACTAGTTTTACTGAGTAGGAGATCATACTCTTCAAAACCATTTTAAAATGTGACACTCGAAAACATTTAGCAGTGTTCACATTAAATTTGGGACCCAAATGTTGCAATAAGAAAAGAAAAGTATAGTGAAATGTTAACTTTGAGCAGCCCTGTGAACATGCTTCTAGTGTGAACCCAAAGAACTATTTTTTGAAAATAGCTTGATTTGGGAGGTTAATCAGCTGTTTTGAATTATTTTCTGCACGTCTGATGTTATGTAGTTGGTGTTTATAGAGGATATAATAGTGCAATTCTTGAGGTCAAGTTTGGAAACTTTTTAACAACTTAAGGAAAACTAAATTTTAATTTTTTAGAAACTTGATTGAGAAAGGATGCTATAAAAGTGGTCTGTGATAAAGATCTCTTTTACAAGGGCCCAGCCACTTGGCTGTGATCCTGCAAACTTCATGCCCTAAGTAGTCTGTCTGAGAGTCCCATTCAGGCAGGGAGCTTGGTGCTTGAGGACTAATTCAGACCACGTGTTTTTAAACCTCTGCGCCATCTAAATTCTCACTGATGGATCCAGGCAGTGCGCGCAGCCTGGACTGAGAGTCCTGAAACAATTCAAGGAAAATTGCAGTATTCATCAGTGTGACTTTACATGATGAAGAAAGGGAAAAGTAAAACTTTTCTGAACTTTATTGGGTGGTTTTATTATTCCATCCACACTGCAACTAGTGTTGAGCATGTGGGGGGAGCAGGGTAAGTGAGCGGAAGAGACTGATTTGCAGCCAAGTAATAGCTCTGCTCAGAGACTAGTATGTGGTTGGTTAGGCCTCATGGTACTCCACCATCTCCCGCTCTGAATCCTGCCAGTCAGCAGCTGTATACTGTCCAGAACAGAAATAGTCAAAGCGTCTGTGAGGCCATAGAGCTGTTATAAAGTCCACAGAAGAACTCTTAGAACCTTCTTCAAAGTCTACTTGTTCTTAATGTTTGGGCACCTATAGCTGATGCAAAGCAGCAGGTAGGAAAAATGTTGCCACAGACATTCAGCACAAAGTGACGTGAATATGTGAAAGTCAGGGGGAGTCCAAGGGCATCACTATGAGCAGTACCCCCCCGGGTGGTACCCTTCTAGGGGGTTTATTTTGGGTGATTAGTTAGATACTGTGGGTTGGGGACTCTGGGGAAGAGTGTGAATTTGGGCATGGGGAGAATGGAGCTTTTAGAGTCAGCATATTGCACTTGAAATGTTTGTTTTTATTGAGCATTCTTAGGCAAGTTGGATGTTCCTTCTCCAAGAATGGACTTGCCACTTGACCAGGAGCAATCTTAATTCAGTGCCATTCTACACACTCATGTTTCCACATGTCTATAATGAGAAGCTTCCTGAAGATTCCATAAGATTCTTAGATTTATTTTTAAGTGTATGACTCATGCAGTTTTGAATTATATTCATGAGTGAATTCTTTATCTCAGACTTATAAACCATCTGCAGAACACAGCAGTAGGGTGTCAGTTTCCAGATTGATGATCTCTTTCTTTTTAAGACATATGGCCTAGCAGGTTGACTAAAATTAATGATTACTCCATTGTAAGACTAATAGAGACAAATTTTGGAGAACCCTTTTTCTTAGATCATTTCACATTTAGATATCTCATAGAGGGATAGTTTTTTAAAAAATAATTAGATCCCTTAAATATAGGCTTTGATTTTGATACATGAAGAATAATTTTGTAGAGAGAACATTATCAATTTTGAGAAGAAATTAAAACTTGTAAATTTAATCTCTATTTCATGCAATTCTTTTTTTAAGAAATCAGAGTGAGCAAATCTTAAGGAGAAAGCAGCCTTATTACATACAACCAAAAGAGACTTGGGTTGATTTTGGTTTGTCTCTTACAACCCTCAATACAATGCATACAAGGAATAAAAAAGCATTTCTTTCTACATTATAATTAACTGAAAACACCCCACTCCTGTAATGGGTCACTTGAGTTTTTATGTATGGCTTTGTATAAACTTGGCTATTTCCCAGTGCCCCTTCATGGCCAGAGAAGTTTATCAGGTGAGATGCAGGCAGTCTCACTAACAAGCAGGTGCTCCACATGTTTCCTGAATTCCGTAGG